ACCTGCCCTCTCCCCACCCCGCCCTCCCCCCTCCCCGCTTTTCTGCTCAGGGGACACCCGAGCATGCAGCCTCAGTTTCCCCCCGACGCACAGGCCAGTCACAGTTCTGTTCTCTGGACATAGCACCTGCTCAGCGCACATCACAACCCCTCGGGAAGCCACTGTTGTCACTTTGGGGTGTGTTGGGGGGAGTGTTATGCCACTTAGTGGCCTCGAGATGCCCAATGCTTTGACTCCTGACACTTGGTGTGCCCCTGCGAGCAAGAGGCCGGGCCTCAGGGGGCAGTGACCAGCAAACAACCAGGGAGAAGCCCCTGAGCCAGCAGCAGACCACTAGGGCGTGGCCACACACAGAAGGGGACAGGTAGGGGGACACAGGTAGAGGGACACAGGCAGAGGGACACAGGCGGAAGGACACAGGCGGAGAGATACAGGCGGAGGCGACACAGGCAGAGGGACACAGGCGGAGAGATACAGGCGGAGGCAACACAGGTGGAGGGACACAGGCAGAAGGACACAGACGGGGGATACAAGCAGAGGGGACACACAGGTGGAGGGAAACAGGCGTAGAGGACACAGGCGGGGGGACATAGGCGGAGGGAACACAGGCGCGGAGGGACACAGACGTTCTGAGCAGGGAGAACCCACTGGGAGTGCTGAGGAAAGCCCCTCCGAGTGGCTGGGACAAGGGGAGCAGGAGGCGGGCCCAGAGAATAGAGCGGCTGTGGGCGTCTCTGTCCCTGGTGCTGAAGCCTCTGTCCCTGGTGCTGGCCCCAGGCCTGGCTGCCTCTGTCCTTGGTGCTGGTCCCAGCGAGCCTGGGTGAGGGCCAGGGCGCTGGGATCCTTCAGGCTGGGCTGCTCTCAGGGCGCTGGGATCCTTCAGGCTGGGCTGCTCTTCACCCCACTCTCTGTGTCATGGAGCCTCTCAGAGGCTTCCATCTACTCACAGGAAAGGGGCCTCGTCTCTCGGCCCCTGAGCACCCCGGCCTCCTTCCCCGGGCCATGTCTCTGCGCCCAGGCCTGCTGCCCCTCTCATGCTGGGTGCCAAGTGATGGCATCAGTGAACCAACTGACACATCAGAAGCCCCTCTGAGACCCTAGTCCTGGCTTCAGCAGATCGAGGGGTGGGCAGGTGAGGCAGGAATGGGGCTTCAGAGAGGTGGGGGTCAGGGCTGGGGTGGGGAGACCCCGGGGTGAGTCCAGCCCCATGTGGATTCCCAGCCTGGTAGCGGGGGCTCTGGAAACCTCTCCTGGGCCCTCCTTTTTCCTATCCCATCTCTGTGAGGTGCGCCCACCCCAGCAGGGTGTCCACAGGTCAGTCTGGGGACCCTGGGCAGCCCCCCCCAGTGACGGGGACACCGTGACTGAACCAACACCGCCTGCCCGCCACCACTGCTCCCCACCACCTGCCCCCCACCATGTGACCCCCACCACCTGCCCTCTCCTGCCCAAGTGTTCTGGGTGGTCTCCGGGACTACTGAGAGCCCACCGTCCCCCACCTGGCCCCCTGGAGGGCTGCCCACATCCAAGCAGCCCCCACTCAGAAGCCGCCCGACTCTGCGAGGACCTCAGCTGCAGGGAAAAGCAGGTCAGGGCCTTGTCATCTCCGGCCCGGCCTTGCTCTGAAGGGCAGGAAGCGTCCCTGCAGCTTCTGGAACAGCCCAGAAAGGGTGGCTGAAACCCAGTGCCCGGCTGGCCCCAGGAGAGCCGGCAGCGGCTTTGGGCGGGCACAGGGCGGCGTTGGCAGCCAGCAGCGCTGGGACAGCTGCCCGTTTGCAGAGGCTGGAGCAGCTGCCCACGTTGTGGAATTTTCCACAGGCTCCCAGACTCTCAGCCCAGAGTCACTCCCTGATTTAGCAAATGCACCTGAGTGCCTCTGGGCACCCAGCACTGTGCCCCGGGGCGTGGGGGCTGTGGGCAGTGCCAACGAGCATCCTTAGGCCAAGGGCAAGTGGGGCCGTGCCAGGACCTTCACCATATCCGTCACTGGGGACACGGTGGGTGCCCAGCAGGTGACAGAGTGGCCCCAGAGGTCTTGGGTGCATCGAGACTCGAAAAGGGCTGAGAGGAGCAGCTTTGGAACAAGAAGGTGACGGTGTGGGGAGACGTTCCCAATCAGGGAGCGCCAAGGGCAGAGACATGAGCACGGATATGGGTTATTTAGGGGCCCCATCATTTCTGTGTGGTATAGTGCTCTGTGTGTACAAGACAGGGAGGGGAGGGAGGGAGGGAGGGAGAGGGAGGAGAGAGGATATGGGGGGGGATAGAGAGGGGGAGAGGAAAGAGAGGAAAAGAGGGAGGGAGAGAAATGGCAGAGAGGGGAGAGGAGGAGGGAGAGAGGGGGTAGAAAAAGAGAGGGAAAGAGAGGGAGAGATGGGGAGAGGGACGGAGGGAGGGAGGGACGGAGGAGGGAGGGAGGGAAGGAGGGATGGAGGGAGGAAGGGAAGCATGTGTGTGTGTGTGTGTGTGTGTGTGTGTGTGTGCGTGAGTCTGGCAGCAGCGTTATGGAGACTAATTCCTAAAGCCAGTGAACCAGCTGCATACTTTAGGACACAGGATGCCTGAAGGCTGCAGCCCGTGGGTGGAGGGGCCCAGAGCACCCGCCAGGATGCAGGAGCACAGGGTATGTGTGCAGTAGACTTCTCACATGGGGCCCCCATCCCAGCTGACCTTCTGGTATGAGCTCAGCAATCCCACATCCCGAGATAGGCCCCTGATCCCAGGGAGATGTCCAGGGTAGCCGCTTTGCCTGCCAGAGAGAGGGGCCCCGCTGGAAAGTGGGGCACCACCGAGCCTCGGGGCGCCACCGTCCTTCCTCCCCTCCAAGCTGGCCCTGTCCGCCCCAGGGAGAACCGCCGCCTTCCATGAAATAGGACAACAGGACTTGTCCCCAAGGTGACGCCGGCCGCCTTGGGCCTGGCTCTCTCTGAAGAGTGACAAGGGGCTGCTTTTGTGTGGGAACGTGACGGAGACAAAGGCAGAGGCTGCGGGGAGCTGTTTCCAGGTTGGAAAAGCAGAGTCAGACCCCTTAGGAATAAGGGGGGGAGGCGCAGAGACAGAGAAAGGAGGGCTGGGGGAGAAGTGGAGAGAGGGATAGAGAGATGGAGAGAGGAGTGGAGAGAGATGAGAGAAAGGGATAGAAAGAGAGGGTAGAAGGGTAGAGGGAGATGGAGAGAGAGATGGAGAGGGGTAGAAAGAGGGAGGATGGAGAGGGGGAGGGGAGGAGAGATGTGGGGGCCTCCTGAGCGTGTGGTGCTTGGGGGGGTCCACCTGCCTGCCTGTCCCCAAGCCCTGGGCCTGGCCAGAGAGTGGGGTAGCGCTGTCCATGGTTCTGAAAATGGGGACCCTGCCCCCAGTTGGCCCCAAAGGGCAGAAGCGCCTTTGGGAACTAAGGGACTGTGTCCCCTTATGTCCCCACAGCAGCAAGGCCCACTCATTTTTTCTGGAGCGATGCACTGGGCCCTGCAGTGCCCACACGTGCTGTGCCCGGAGCGCAGCCCTCAGCCACCAGCCCCTGGGCTAGTGTGGGTCCAGGGTGTAGGTGGGTAGAAGACCACTGGTCTCCCACCTTGGACCCAGCTGCCGGCCCAGGATCCTTCTGCAGGCCAGTGAGAGTCCACGGGTGTGAGGGGTGAAGAACGTGGGTCGCCCTCCCCCAGGGGAGGCCCCATTGTCCTCACGCCTACCCAGGCAGTGGTTCCCATGACCTGAGCCCCAGGATGGCACCCGCAAGGGACGGTGTGTGGGCTGTGGGGCGCGTGGCCAGTCTCAGCACAGCTGGGCACAGGGAGTGGTCTGCAGTGTCCCTAGCTCGGGTCCAGCACGGGAGGGGCTTGCAGGCCAGCCGGAAGGGCTGGGAGCCGGTGGGGAACAGGGTGGCGGAGAAGCAGTGTTTGGGGAGGGCTAGAAGGGGACACGTTCCCGAGAGGGCAGCCCTGACGTGGGGGCACAGGCAAGGCGGCTGAGCCCCCCAGAGGGGCCAGTGGCCTCCCCACTGGGCCTCTCCAGAGCTCCGCTGGGCACCTCACCCTGCTCCAGGCACCAGATTGTGGCCTGCTAGCCGGGCTGCAGGTCTCACAGGCCCCGGGGGGCCAACAGGGACAGTAGCCACCCATCCAGGCCAGGTGTGGGAGCTGAGCCCTCACCTCAGTGCACCCCTGTGTCTGGCACAGCTGGGAGCGGGAGGGAGGCCAAGCAGCAGCCCTGCTGGCGTCTGTCCACCCTTCCCTGGGTCTGCCCTGAAACCAGAGAGCAAAGCTGCCACCTAGTGCCCGTGCCTGGTACTGCAGCCAATGCTGTTTGAGGGGGCGGGGAGTTTCCACTTAATGCTGGTGCCTGGTACTGCAGTCGCTACTGTTTGCGGGAGTGTGGGATGGGGGGGCGGGGGGAGGAGGGCGGAGCAGGGAAGCTGCCACCTAGTGCCAGCGCCTGGTACTGCAGCTGCCTCTGTTTGGGGAAAGAGAACTGCCACCTAGTGCCCGCACCTGGTACTACAGCAGCCGCTGTTTGGAGTCAAGGGAGCTGCCACCTAGTGCCTGCCCCTGGTACTGCAGCAGCCACTGCTTGGGGGCAGGGAGCTGCCACCTAGTGTCTGCTCCTGGTACTGCAGCTGCCTGACTGCTCACAGACTGGGTTGGATTTCCCCAGCCCTCCTTCACTCCCCAGGGCCTCCTGGCTGAGTCCCGCCCCTTGAAATCACAGTGAGGGGCCCCTTCCTGGGGGTTCAGATAGCCTGTCCCCCAGCTGGCAGAGAGGACAGTATGGGGGAGTTGCAGCTCCCTTCAGTCCTAATGGGCCCTCGCGCCCGCCTCCGTCCCTGCCGGACACCAGGGCTCCCTGGACCTGCTGTGTCCCTGAGGATGGACAAGGGAGGGACTCCAGTGAGAAATCCCGTTTCCCAGCCACGCCCAGGCCCCCCACCCTGACCCCCCACCCCACCCAGCCTCCCCCTGCCAGCTCCCCCATGCCAGCAGGAGCCTCACGATGCCCTGTCCCCACAGGTCCTCTCGGAGCAGGGCTACGGCCAGATCACCACCGACATCCGCCCGGACCAGACCTTCTACTACGCAGAGGACTACCACCAGCAGTACCTGAGCAAGATCCCCGATGGCTACTGTGGGCTCGGGGGCACCGGTGTGGCCTGCCCAGTGGGCATCAGAAAGTGACTGCCAAAGGCAGTCCACTCTGGAGGCACAGCCTGCCGCCCACCTTCCTTGCAGCCAGGGCAATGCGTGATTGATCTCTGGTGGGGGGGGGGCAGGGCTTGGGGCGAGGATGACCTCTGTGCCGCCCTCACCATGCCTGGTCCAGACCCCTGCCAGGGAACCCAGGGCTGGAGCGCTGGGAATCCCCCCTCAACCTGATCCTGCCACAGTGCTCCCCAGCGCCCCCACCCTACCCCCCCCGTGCCTTATTTGCAATCGCCCCCATGAATCATTCTCTGAAACACGGCCCCATTGGTGATTCTTACACACGGGTACTGCCTCTCTGAGAATTGCTGAGAAATGTTAATAAAGCTTTGCTCCCCGGCCATGCCCTCGGCCCCATGCCTTGTGTGTCTCCTGGGTAGGTGGGGTCATGCAGAGATGGAGCTCAGAGAGAGCTGAGAAGTGGGAAGGCCCAGCTATGCCACGGCATGGGAAGGTCGACAGAAAGTACCAGAAGGCGACCACCCTTCCACCTGTCCATGCCATTGGCCCTGATGGTACTGTCCACGTCCTGACCATCGGGCAGCAGAAGCAGTGCAGGCAGCCCCCTGCAAGCCTTCAGCATCAGTACCGGGGCGAGGGCACAGGACAGCCGGTATCAGGACCAGCGAGTCCCTGCAGGCCCGGCCGGGGTCTGTTCAGCTGTCCAAGGTCCATCCATTAGATCCAGGAAGGCCTCTGGGCCAGTGATGCTGGGCCAGGAGCCCAGTGACCGGAACAAGGCCCTGGAGATGGAGCAGTGCTGAGCCGGGGACGTGGGCCCCTGCACGTCACACACTTCCACCTGCCTGCTTTTCCTCCTGGGATGCGCGGTGCCCTCAGACACCAAGAAAGCACAGGTGGGAGGGCCCGGTGGGTGGGAAAGCCCCCGGCAAGTTGAGTGACCTGGATGGGGATGGGAGCACAATGCAGGGCTGGGCAGCAGGGCAGGCGGGCTTCACTCTGTGCAGTGGACAGCCACTGGCAGGTTTGAGGTTTCTCCTTCCTTCCTCGCCGGGGGCCCTGGCAGAGCTGGCAGCCTTGCTCTGGTGAAGGAGGAGGTTGGGGTAAGTGCTCGGGCCTTGCCCTTGGGCCTCACGTGTTTGGAGTGCTTTCACAGCTCCTCCTGCACGCAGGAAGTGGGGCAACTGGCTGTGTAGTTCTGGAGTTTGGGTTGAGTCTCTAAGGGAGCCGGGGGGTTCTCAGCTGGGGGCCCAGGAGTGAAAACTGCAGAGATGGGGCCAAGAACAATCAAAATGCAGGACAAGGGACCCAGGGAGGGAGAGGGAGGGGCGGAGATCCTGGAAGTGAGGGGAAGGGACCACAGGGAGGAAGGAAGGGGCAGGGGCCACAGGGAGGGAGGGAAGGAGGGAGGGAGGGAGACAGGTTGAGGGGAGGCTGAGCTGTGAGACCTGGGGAGGTCCGGGGAGGCCGGGAGGACGGGCTGAGGGTGAGACTGCAGCTGTGACCCAATGCAGAGGAGTCTGAGAGGTGACACTGGGTCATCCCCCTCCCCGCCCCCTCCTCCATGAAGCCCAAACTGATTCGTCCCCTGCTGCATCACCCATCTGGAATGGGAGCTTCTGGAAGCTACGGCAAATCCTGGTAGCCAGCATCCTTGGCAGCAGCACCGGCTCAGAGTCTGACCCTAGACGTGCTCCTCACAGAGGATCCTGGGCCCAGGGCGCTGGTGCAGGGGTCAGGGCCATCTGCAGACTCACGGAGTGGCCTGGACGCCTCAGGCAACCTGGTGGTCACACGGCCCAGGGCAGGTTGCACATCGCACCTGCTGGCTCAGGTGGGGCGGGGAGCGGGGGTTCGCTGAGGCGTCCCCCTTTCATCGACCTGACCGCTGCCCACTGAGCTCCAGCATGGGCTGATGGGCACAGACTGGGTGAGCAGGCCCAGCGCCCGGCTCCCGGCAGGATGGACAGAGCCCAGAAGGCACCCGTGGCCTCTGGAAGGTTGTCAGCATTTCCATTCATGGGGACCCTGGTCGGGTGGCATGGGCAGAGGTAAGGGTGCGGCGAGAGGGGCCCAGGGCCAGGCAGCTATGTGTGTGCTGGCGGTGGGGTGGGTGGCCTCAGCGCCAGCCCTGAGCACCTCCCTGGCTGCCAAGCACAGTTTTATTTATTTTATTATTTTTTATTTCACTTTTCCAGTCGTATTCCAGGGAGTCCCATAACTGGTTGCTATCCACTTTTGTAGTCTTGGCTTTGAAATTTTTTTTTGTTTCTGGGGTCTTGTGTCCCAGAGCTCAGGGGTCACTCCTGGCAGGCCTCTGGGCACCCTGTGGCACATCAGGGATTGCGCCTGTGTTGGCCACATGCCAGACACAACTGTCCCTCTCTCTCTGGCCCAGGGTTTCCATTTTGGATATTATAAATGCACGTCTGTTCCCAGCTGTCTGTCTTTTCCTTTCTCTAGTTTGTCTTTTTGTTTTAAGTCTTTGAAAGACCAATTCTTAAACTTTGACGAAACCTAGTTTCTGATGTTCTTGCTTCTGTGTATCTAAAATCTGAGTGGCCAGCGGTTCGCTTGGACATGGCGTTTGTACACGGTCTCTGTGAAATGGGTGGATATTTTGCTTGTGAATACTGAGTCACCCCATCTTGGCCTGGTGGAGAGGCCAAACTCTCTCCCCTGCATGCCATTCACACCCTTGCTGCAGACAGCCGTCCTGGGCCTGTTTCTGGAGTGATTGTCAGTGCCGGGCAGGCAGGCTGCTCCTGGTGGCCGCTGAGGGGGGTGGGGGGGTCGCGGACAGGAGAAGGTGCCATGTGCTGCCCGACCTGGTCCTTCCCGGGCCTCCCACTGTTTCTCCGAGGTTTTATTTTGTTCTTTGTTTCAAATGTGGTGCCCCATCAGAATGCGTCCCTATGACTGCCCGCTCTATGCCTTCTATGCCAACCAATTTCCAAAGCAAAAGGCCCCATGGCAGCGGTGGCCCTGGGCACTGTCCATTCCAGCTCCTAGTCAACAGAGCAGTACCTGGGCAGTACCCACCCACTGCTGCCCCCTGGAACCCTCTCCCTTTCCAACGGGACCCCCACAACCCCAGGCTGGAGGCCCGCGCCAAGGCCCTGCTCCATCCGTGAGCCTGAGCTGAGGGCCCCCATGCCCAGCAGCCCAAGCAGGCAATCAGGGGCCCAAAGCAGGGCAGAGCGCGGGCGCTGGCCCAGAGATGAAAGTCCGGGCTGAGTCCATGGAGACTCGTTCCAAGTGCGTCTCCCGCCCCAGATCACAGCCGTCCTCTGCCGCCTGGGTTTGTGGGTCAGGCCATGTCCCCGCGGCGGCCGCCATGCCGGCAAACCAGGCCAGTGCGTGGGGAGGGAGCCCTGTCCACCTCCACCCCTGCCGTCTGCTGAACAGAGCCAGGTACATCACCTGCTGGCCGTCCCTGGGCCTTGCACCCTGCCCCATGCTGCCTGCCTCTCTCTCCTCCCTGCCCCGAGGACCATCCCTGCTGTGTTGGGTGGCCCCAGGGCCCTGAGCTCCAGGACTTCCCCACACCAGGCCCGTTCCCAGGGCACAGAAGCGGGGCTCGCCCGGTGCAGCCCGGGAAGGAAGGGGCAGAGCCAAGCCAAGCTCAGCCCAGTTCCCACTCCACGCAGGGCCCACCCCTGTGGCCACTTCCTGTCCGGCCTCAGCTGACAGCCTCTGTGGGCCCCTGAAAGCCTGTGAAGAAGCCCCAGGTCTCTCTCAGGGCAGGCAGAGGGAGGGGGGCAGGTGGGTGGGGGCAGGATGGGGCAGATGGGTGGGGATAGGACTGTGGTTTGCAAGATGTTTGTTGACACCAAGAGATTTGGGTCTTAAGAAAGTATGAAGAGGGGTTGGAGCAATAGCACAGCAGGTAGGGCGTTTGCCTTGCATGCGGCCGACCCGGGTTCAAGTCCCAGCATCCCATATGGTCCCCTGAGCACCGCCAGGGATAATTCCTGAGCGCAGAGCCAGGAGTAACCCCTGAGCATTGTTGGGTGGGACCCAAAAAGAAAAAAAAGTATGAAGAAATAGGACCAGAGTGATGGAACAGCGAGGAGGACACTTGCTTTGCATGCGGCCAACTCGGTCTCAATCCCTGTCATTCCATATGGTCCCCTGAGTACCACCAGGAGTTCTTCCTGAGTGCAGAGACACGAATAAGCCCTGAGCACTGCTGGGTGTGGCCCAAAAACCTGAAAGAAAAATCTGTTTTTGAAAAAAGCTAGAGCCAACTATGCTGGAGAGGTTTGGGGGAAGGGGCTCACAGGGCCTAGGTCGCAGACACCCCTCATGGGAAGGCCCATTCTCTGCCACTGGCTGAACACGTTAGCCTCAGTGTAGCTTCTTTTAAACCTTGTGAAGATTCACCAGCAAAGCCATCTGGGACGCTGCTCTGTGGAAATGTAACTAAATGCATTTCTGTACTTATTAAAGAGCTGTCCGTATTTACTCTTCCTCGTGAGCCAATTTTATTGTATCTTTCAAGGAATTTTCTCGTTTGATATAAGTAGCCAGATTTGCTGCGTGATGCTGTCCAGAACATTCTAAGCCTCCGTCTTAGAATGGCTTCACGTTCCAGGGTGGCCCCAGGCCTTGGAAATGTGTCTCCTCTCTGTGTCCAGGACAATCCAAATAAGAAGTGTCCACTTCATGCATCTTTCCCAAGAACAAAGGTTGAGCTTAACGTTTATTATTCTGCATTTATTCCCCTACTGGTTCAGTTCTTGTCTTTACCAATTCATTTCTTGTAGTTCTTTGAGTTGAATTTACTTTTATTTTTCTAATTCATTATTTCTCTCTTTTTTTGTTGTTTCGTTTTGGTTTTGTGGGGGGCCAGCAGAGCTCAGGACTTTCTCCTGACTCTGCTCTCAGAGATCATATCTGGTGTGGCTTGGGGGACCATATGCGGTGCTGGGAATTGAACCCAGGTCAGCTGCCCAACACACTGTAATATCATTCAGCCCTTTTTTTTAATTCCTTAAGGTGAATGTGAGAATCGCCGAGAGCCTTTTCTTTCCTGATACAGTCATTTAAAGTCACGCATCTTCTCTAAGCATCGCTATAGCTGTAAAGTTTCAAATTTTGACATACTCTTTCATTTGAACCCACTTCAAAATATGTTTTCAAATTGAGATGTCCTCTTTAACCCAGTAAAGGGGTTGTTTTATAGATGTGTTGATTTAGATTTCTAAATCTTGGGGAATTTCCTGACTTCTATCTGCTGTCAATTTCTAAAGTAACTACATTTTCGTTGCAGCACTTCATCTGGGTGTCCCCATAGTTTTACATTTATGTCATTTCATGACTTGGCTTGGTTTTTGTTTGTTTGTTTTCATTTATTTTTAATTTAATTTTGTTTTTATAAAGTTGTTCACAATAGTTCATTACAGGTAATATTCAAACACCAATCCCACCACCATGCACCTTTCCATCACCATAAGAGGGAAGTGTGTGACGATTGTTGGATTTCATCCTGGAGCCATTTAAGCTCTTGTATAAGAGATTACAGACATACATGTTAAGCCCAAACAAATTTGTGCTACTTTTGGTACATCAGTGGGCTAGAGTATAAGAGGTCCAGGAGGTTCTGTGTCGCTCTGTTCCGGGAGCTTTGTTTTATAGTCTCTGGATCTTGGCTGTTGATGAGATTATATGGTGCCAGGGGCAGTTTGTGGGTGTGGCTGCCAAGCTACTGGAAAACTGAGGAGCTGGGGGGAGGAAGCCCAGTCCCCTTCTGAGCGAACTTGGAGATCTCAGTCACGGGTCCCTCATACCTGGGTTTTTCTGCAGGTTCCCCCATGGGTGAGGCTTGTCCAAGTGTGTGGAGAGCGGCCTTGAGCATGGCTGTGGTTGGGTTCTGGAGGGTTTTGGCTGCCAGGGTTCTGCTGGGGCGGGGTGGGAAATTCAACCTACCCTCCTCCAAGGTGCCCCTGTGAAGACGGCCTGGCGTGGGTTCGGGACATTCTGTCTTGGCTTATTTTTTATGTCGTTCAGTTGTGGGTGCCACGTCTCATCTGTCTGTCTCATAGGTTGTTCAGTTCCTCCACATTCTGGCCGATTTCCATCCCATTCTCGGTTCTCCAGAAGGGCCCTTGGACACAATGCCAGTCTGTCTCCATGACTCCTTCCCCGTTTCATTTTGTTCACTTTGGTGTGGGGAGTGGGGGGTTTGGGCTGGCCATGCCCTGGTGCTGGAAGATGCCCTGTCTGTGTGCTTGGGGCACGTCAGTGAAGCATTTCCCACTGTGGGTAAGAGGAAAGATTAGGAAACTTCTTAAGAAAATAAGTTTTTTTAAGAAAAAGATATTCCATATTTTTTGGAGTTAGGCCTGAGCTGGTTAGAATTACTCAAAATTCAGAAATAACTGTAATAAACCCCCCTCCTGCAAACATACACACGTCCAGAAGAGCAAAACGGTACCAAGGAAATGATATGCAGAAGCATCTCTGGAAGTCAGAAGTGCCTGTTTCTAGGACCCCAGGATTTACCAGAGAGAACTGCAGGTATTTAGGTCAGCAGAGTCACTCCAGGCCAGGGGGGGGGACCAGGGTGAGCTTGGGGCTGCAAGTAGGAGTGGCCCCTGAGCATCTTTGGATGTGACTCAGGCCCCCCCCCCCCCAACACACACACCCTGACAAATAGACTTGCTACAAAACTCTTCGTAGTGGGTTTATTTGTCATCAGAGCTGAAAATAGGACAGCGTCCTCTGCCCATCGCAGGGGGACAGGCCGGCAGGTGTGCAGCCTGCATTGCCATCCCAAAGTGTGAGCTGTGTCCAGGACCAGCCTGAAGCCCGGATGTGTGCAGTGAGGGACAGCCACACGTGCCCCCATGCCAGCCCACCCAGTTCTCCAACAGACACGGTGAACGGGAAGGACCCGGCAGGGCCCTGGGGACGGGCGGGAGGGCAGGCCTAGGTGCTGGGATTCTGGCCTGGAGGGAGGATCCCCACACTGACAGGAAGCTTCTTCATCTTGGTCAGGCTGGGGGAGCCCAGCAAACAGATCCCAGCCTGCTTCCATCAGTGCCTCAGCCTGGGTGTGACCCTGTGCCTCGGTTCGGGGGAGCCCCGAGGAGTTGTCGGTCCTTCCTTCCAGTACTGGTAAAGTCTGCGTATCTGTTAGCACACTTTATGGCACGCATGTATGCCCTCGTGCACACCCCACATACTTGCACGTACATGCAGACACACACCAGCACATGCCCACATGTGCACACATCACAATGCATGCATGAGCACGTGTGTAACATGAACATGCATGTATATGCACACATTCCCACACATGCACCTCCCTGGACCCAGCCGAGGGTACGCCCTGTGCCTCTCTCTGTGTGGAGCCCTGGGTGGGAAGTGGGCACGGGGAGAGGACGGAGACCTCTGGCACCCAGGGCGCCTGTTCTCAGGGAGGCTGTAGCCCCAAGATGCATGTCATTTGCTCCCTCCTCCTGACACCTCCTGTCCCTTCCGCCACCCCTCAATGTTCTGACAGACCAGTGAATGTTCGAGGGGCACCTGCCAGTTCATCCCCGCGCGAGAGTTCAGAGGCGAGGTGCTGGCCTTGCATGCACCTGAGCTGGGTTCCACCCCTGCACCCCACGTGGTCCCCTGAGCACCACTGGGGTTGATTGCTGGGCACAGGGCCAGGAGCCAGCGCTGAGCACTCCTAGGCGTCGCCCCTCAGGGAAATGGTTCTAATGGGCTTCCACAGCACACTCTCACTCTTTGCCCACCCACAGCCCTCCCTCTATGTGGGCTCACAGCTCAAGGGTCCCTACTTACAGCAAATGCACCATGAGCCTTTCTGAGGGGCCGGCAGCCTTGACCCCTTAGTAAACAATGAGGAGACGTCACTCAGGGCTCCGCACCCGGCCAAGAGTGTCGGCTGCAACCACCCTGCAGGACTGAGCCCTTTGCCCTTGCGGCTACCCATTTTCTGCCATCCTTCTTATCCTGTCTCAGTGAGTCCTGCCCCGTGCCCCACAGAGAGGACAGGACAGCCAGGCAGGAGCCTCCTGGATGGGATGTGTGGGGCAGCCCTGACTTCCAGGTGCTGGCTGTCTGACCCAAGAACACCGCTTGGCTCGCCTGACCGTGTGCCAGCTAAGCTCGGTGAGAACTTGGGCCTCTGCCCACCTCCATGGCCCCGAGGAGCCGCGGGGTCACAGGAACACTCCAGCACCTGGTCTTGTGGCTCAAAGCAACACACGGAGAATGGGCCACGGCCTGCCGCCCTGGGCATCCCCACATGGGGGCCGGCATGGTGGCCACGCGGCCTTTAGTTATGGACCAATAGGAACATGAGGAAATTCAGGAGCAGGATGGCCCAGGGGGACAGGAGTGGAAGGTTCCCCGACTTCAACTTGAAGGGCTTTCCCAGCCGCCTGGTTTCTGTGTGGATCCACGCCAGATAATTGGACACGTTTGTGTATACGCCCGGCTTTCTGCCACAGCCCTCGCCCCAGCTGACAATGCCCAGCTGGTACCAGGTTCCTTTGTGGTTAGTCTTCTCACAGGTCAGGGGACCCCCGCTGTCGCCCTATGAGAGGAAAGTAGTTTAGGAGTGGAGGAACACTCCTATAGGCAGGCACCTATAGGCAGGCACCCACCACGGGGCAAACGCCCATGTCTTTTGTTATCTTTTGTGGGGGGGGGGGCACACCCGGGGTGCCCAGGGCTTCCACTGGGTTCACACAACAAGGCCAGCACCTCATCGGCTGCGTCGCCTCCCACAATTGCAGTCTTTTGAGGAGGGTCGTGTTGAGATTTCATCCAGCTCTCAGATAATAGGGCTGCTCCCAGCTCCGAGACAGCCAGCAAAGAGACAGCAATCTGGACTAAAGCTGCCCATTTCCATCATCACTACCACAGTCATTACCGCAACCACCTCCAGCATCATAATGAACATCATCGCCACCAATATCCCCCCCATGACAAATATCACCGCTATAATCACCATCACACCATCACCAATACACCAATATCATCATCACCACAGGAGGACCACCAAAACCAACACCACCACCATCACCACCATCCTCTTCACCCCCACCACCGTCATATCCCCCACTGGCCTCTATTGGTTCTGATGTACCAAACAGTAATTTTTCCAATCAAATTCTTCCCTAAGCATCTTTGCAGTTTGCAGAACCCTCCCCGTTCTTCTGTGTCAGCGTTGGTCTCCTGGGGTAATCGGGGGAAGAAATGAGGAGGCACCTCTACCTGCTGCCCATGTGCCCACACCACTGGAACTTTCTTCCCCATGAACTCAAATCAATGCAACCAACAGCATTTCTCACTCCAGCCCTGAAGAGGCAGAGCTGTGCCTGGGCTTACACGGCCTGTTTTGGGAGGTAGGTAGAAAGGGGAGCGGTCACCTGGGTTCAGGAGGTCAGAATCCAGAACTGGGATGGGACTCAGTGACAGAGCACGTGCGCAGGAGGTCTGGGGTCCAGTCCCGCCCGCAGGCTTGAGACTCATGGGCACTGGGGGTCGCCCCCGAAGGAATAACCTGAATCCAACCAGCTGCCCCCAACCCTCAAAGACCCCCCCACAGAGAAAGCCATGCACCACGGGGCTGAGAAGAAGTCACAGACAAGCCCCGGGCCACTTGGGGAGCTGAGAGGCAGGGGGAGCCCCCCATCCCATCCCCAGGGCCTGGGCTGCATATCCTAAGGGCCTGGCACCGTCAGAGCCCACAGCAGGGTCCACTGGCCGTGCCCAGTGGGAGAGGGGCGGGAGTGGCGGCCAGTGCCGCTCACTCAGTTACCTTGCAAGCGTCCTTCCCCTTCAGGGGGTCCCCGGCGCACAGCATGTTCCTGGTGACCTGGGGCATGAGCTGCTGGCATGTCTCCCACTCCAGCAGCCGAATTTTGACCTTGTACAGCTTCGCGTCCAGCTTCCGCATGGCGACTGCCGGGGCAGGGTCAGTGGTCAGCCAGCAACCCACTTGCCTTGCGCCCCTTCACCTCAATGGTATGGGAGCCCCAGCTTGGGACTGAGTGAGGGTGGGAAGAGCGTCCGGCATGCTCCTGAGGACAACCCCTGCGGATCCCCTGCTGCCCAGCCAGGCTCCGCGGAGTCCCTGCGATCGCCCCTAGTCTGGCTGAGGAGGGTGCCAGGCTGTAGCCTGAGTGCAGGGAAGGCATGTTGGGTCCCTGAGACATGAGACTGTAAGCGCCCATGCAGGGGCCTGGGTGTGCTGGGTAGGCTGGACCCGGCCAGGACCCTCAGGGCATGCACGGACTGCAGAGGGGGGGAGCAGCTCCTGGAGGGCGCCCCCCACTGCCGGCCATCCCCTCCGCCCCGCCCAGTGAAAGGGAGCTGCTGAAACCCCCGACCTGAGGACGGGAGGGCAGCTCTGAGCTGGGCCCACAGAGGAAGCTGCTGGTTGTGACTTCCTGCCCATCTGAGCCGTGGGCTCAGAGCCGCACACGGAGTAACGGGGAGCCACGCTGAGGGGTGCTGGGCCAGGCACCTTCTTCTGCATCCCCTTCTCCAGGGCTGGGGTGAGACCCGCACACACCGCTGCCCCCTGCACAGCCCCCCAGAACACAGAGCCAGGTGGCCCCGGCACTCCTCAGCTTGGCTCTGGAGGCCCCTTGAGGCCCCCCGGCAGGCCCACACCCATAGGCCGAGACTCACCTGTGGACCCCCATCCCGACACCCAGCAGTCACCCCATTCCATCAGGTCCACGAACTTGGACAGGCACACGGGGCTGCTACCAGTGCCCAGCTGCATGGGCGCCCTGACCAGGACCAGCGCGATATCGTTGTCCAGGAGCCACATGTCGAAGTCGGGGTGGAAGAGGATCCGGTCCACGGCGATGCTGCTCACGTTCTGCACGCCCAGGGGCCCCGCGCAGTAGGACACCTCCAAGCCAGACGCCATCTCGAAGCAGGAGCAGCGAGGGGCAGAGAGGTAAGGAGGGCGAGGCCAGGCCCCGGGAGCAGCGAGGGGCAGAGAGGGGGCCGCCCACCCCATCTCACTGCCCACCTGCTGCTCTCTGGACGGGCCACGCCCTGTGCAGCCACCCCTTTCACCTCCACCCGCAGGGGCCTGTTTGGCTTGAGCACAGACACCCCGAGTCTTTGGCCAGGCTGGTGCCCCCAGCTCATGGGGTGGCCAGGCCTGGCGGGGGAAGGTCCTGAGTTTGCCTCCTAGAAAAATATTTTGAGGGGCCCAGAGAGGGAAAGATGCTGCCTTGTGTGTGACTGACCTGGGCTCCACCCCCAGCAGCCCATATGGTCCATGGAGTGATCCCTGAGCACAGAGCCAAGAGTCAGCCCTGAGCACTGCTGGGTGTGGCCCATATTTGTGTGTGTGTGAATATATATATGTATATATATATATATACATACATACATACATATCACTGTCATCACTGTCATCCCGTTGATTGTCGAATTGCTCTAGCAGGTGCCAGTAACATCTCTATTTGTCCCAGCCCTGAGATTTTAGCAGCCTCTTTTTACTCATCTTTTCCCAATGATTGGAGGCTCTTTGAGGGTCAGGAGAATGAGACCTTATGTCGTTACTGTTTTTGGCATATCAAATACTCTACCAGGAGCTTGCCAGGCTCTGCCCGTGTGAGCAGGATACTCTAGGTAGCTTGCCAGGCTCTCCAAGATATATATAAAACACTTCTAGAATGTTCATTTGTGAGCTCCACCTCGGGGACGGGGCGACCAGGCCTGGAACCGCCAGAACTCGCGGGCTCTGGGTCTCTCCCTGGTGACAAGCAGATGTAGTAAAGTCCTTGCAGGAGTCTGGGCCACCGGCCCTGAGCGAGGCCTGTGGCAAGTCCTCAGAATGTGGGTTCTGTGGCCACACACACCAGCCACAGAGGGGACATTCTGCAGCTGCAAACCATGGGGGCACGTGGGGGTGACCCGGTCCTTCCTTTCAAATCACGTGGGGCTGGGAAGAAAGCTGTGCGGGCAGGGGACCGTGGGGGCACCCCCAAGCCCAGGCAGCCCTGCACCATCCCATGGGGTCCCCCCGCCCCGCGGCACTTACATGTTCCGGTCCATGAAGCAGTGACAGGCCGTGAGCACCCACCAGGTGCTGAGGATGGAGCCGGCGCAGAGGTGGATGCCACTGTCCAGGATGCCCACCTGCCATGGGAACTCGGCCCTGGACGCCACCTCCCCGCCTGTGATGGCCTCGGCCCACACCTTCGCCTTCTTCTCACAGGCCTCTAAAGCAGAAGGGCAGGGAGAAGAGCAGGACCCCAGGGTCGCAGGTAGAAGCAGAAACCGCGCCCCCACCCAGGGGACCCCATGCAGCACCAACAGACCCCCCTGTGGCGAGGAGGTGCTGGAAAGTTTGCTCTGTCCCTCTGAGAGTGTGACGGAAGGTAGGGGCAGACACACCACAGCCTGCATGGTCAGGGGGTCTCAGAGCCCCCCAAAGCTGAGGAGTGAGGAGGGGGGACAGCAGGTCAGCACTGTGGCCTGGCTGGCCAGGGACTGGAGTCAGGTTCTGGGCGGGCCCCAGCACGGCCCCCCAAGGTCACCTCCACACATGTCCCTTTGACACATGGATGTACCAGTGGTCTGGGGGTGCCCGTGGGCACGTTGGGCGACCGTGCAGGCACTGACCTCCCAGGCCCACGAGCTCCTCAGACGCAGGCCCAGGGGATGAGCGGGCCAGGGAGCTGGGAGCCTGGGCCAGCAGCAGCGCGAGGGGCAGCAGCGATGTGACTGCCCGACCCCCCATCCCTTCATGGCCCCTATTCAGTCTAGTGGCAGGCAGGTTCCTATCCGGGCAGCTGGCTGACTTCTGAGGTCACAATAGGGCCCAAGGCGTGCTGGGAGGCTGCCTGTGGGCCCAGGGCCTGTGGTGGGTGCAGGTCAAGGGGCGCTGGGCCCTAGGGCCAGGCCCCTGCCGGGAGATTCCGGAACTCCCAGGAGAGAGGAGGAAACGGCCCAGCAGGACACGGCCCGCACCACGGCAGGGAGCCCCCACAGAGGGAGGGTCGGGGGACACACTCACCCCAAAAGCAGCAGCTCTGGGGCTTTCGGCCGACCCCCCCAGAGGGGCTTCTGTCTGAGCCCACAGGACACCCCACAGAGCTCTGGGCAAGGCGCTGTGTCCGAAGGAGCTCTGCTGCCCTCCAGCTGCCCGGCCCTGTGGGCCACTTTCTCAGGACCAGAAACACCAACTTCTGTTCTGGGGAGCCCAGAGGGCAAAAGCACCCCCCAGTGTAATGGGCCCCCCAGGGACAGGCTGGGAGGGGCAGGGCTGAGGGGGGTGGGGTGGGGTAGACCAGCATTCTGGGCTGAGTGGAGGCATTGAGGCATCTGCCCTGGAGTGAAGGTCCCCTGAAGTTCCAGAGGAAGTCCTGACCCCCCAGGAGCAAGGAAGCGAGCTCATCTGGAAACGGGCCATTGCAACGCCACTAGGAAGGACATTGCCCAGAGTGGGCAGGGCTATAGGGACATTGCCCATAGGGAGGTGGACACCCGGACACGCCCTCCTGAAGGAACCAGCAGGAGCCAGAAAGGCCTGGCCAGGAGCTGGTCAGCACCTCAGAGCACAGCCTGGGCCTGCCCACACCTTCTCTCTGCACATACCCCACTGCACACACCTTCTGCACACACCCTTCTGCACACACCCCTCTGCACACAGACCCTGCACACACACCTTCTGCACACACCCCACTGCACTCAGCCCTCTGCACGCACACCTCTGCCATCAGCCTTCCACACACACACCCATTGCACACAGCCCTCTGCACACAGCCCTCTGCATACACATCCTGCACACACACCTCCTCTGCACACAGCCCCTCTGCACACAGCCCTCTGCACATACACACCACTGCACACACCCCCTCTGCACACAGCCTTCTGCTCACACACCCTCTGCAGACAGCCCTCTGCACACCTCCCCAATGTGTGCACAGCCCTCTTCATACACCCCTCTGCACACACCCTCTGCACAACCCCCTCTGCACACACCCCTCTCTGCCTCTAGAAAATGTGCAAAGGGGAGGCAGCTGGTCTAACGCTGCAGACAAGGTGTCCCTGAATCATGCCTGGCATTACCTGTGAGGTCGGCATGTGAGGCCGGTGTGTGCACGAAGAGTGCCCTGCCCCAGATCTACCTCTCTGGCCCCTGGATCTGAACATTTCATTTCCTGCTACTCATCTTAGATTTCACGGGCGAGTGGAATCAGTGTTTGTTTCATCCAATTCCCCGGAGCAGATGCCCTCTGCGTCCACCCATGTTGTCACCAAGGACAGCTGAGCCTGTCCTTGGCATGAAGACCGTCTTCCCCCTCGCCTATGGATGGCTGCTTAGCGGTTCCCGTGTCTTTTGGTGGTGGTTGTTGTTGGTTGTTGGTTTGTTTGTTTGGGTCACACCCAGCGATGCACAGGGTTTACTTCTGGCTCTGCACTCAGGAATTACTCCTGGCAGTGCTCAGGGGACCACATGGGATGCTGGGAATTGAACGTGGGTCGGCCACGTGCAAGGCAAATGCCCTACCCACTGTGTTATCGCTCCAGCCAGCAGTCCCCATGTCTTGGGGGCTGTGCGTGACACTGTACTGCACAGATCTTGACTGGGGCCACGCCCTCTGTGCTCAGCACTTGCACCTGCTGTTTCTGGCAACCCTAGGAGCCCGGCCAGATGCCCACAGGGCACCTCCCCGCTGCAAATACAGACCTTTCTCTTTCCCTCAGCGGGTGCCCCCAGGGCCTGGCTCCTCCCACCCCACGACTGTGAGGGCCAGAGACAGCTGGTTCGTCAGAACCTCGCTCCCGCTCCCCAGCGCCAGCGCCAGCTCCTGGGGGCTTCCTGCCAGGAACAGGTAAAGGTGAGCGCCCCAGGCATCAGCTCTGGCCTCTGACCCAGCATCACAGCAGCCCAGGTCTATCTTCTGGGGCCCCCCTGCCCCCTCTAGGAAGCCCCCAGATGCTCCCCACAGCTCAGCCCACAGCGCACAGATAAGGGCTCCGTCCACCCCCACAGAGCCAGAGTGACCAGCCACCAGGAGGCCAGGGACCCGACTCGTGTGTTGCCATGGTTGCCGGAAGCTGTGCAACCCAGGCCCACCCCCAGCCCACCCCCTTCCTCTCCCTGACCCCAGGGGCAGCGCTGGCAGTTTCTGAACGTGAGCAGGGGTGGGTAGGCCCAACCCTTCCCATGAGCCTCTGTCAGCCTCTGGTCTCAGGGTTCAGTGTGGCGGCGGCTGCCTCCGACTTCCTAGAAATGAAACTGTCGCAGGAGTGTGTGCCAAGACCTGGACGCCGCTTGTCCTTTCTCTGAAATGAGAGTGTGACGGCAGCCTCCCTTCCTGTTTGTGGAGTGAAATCGCAGCCGTGGGCTCAGACCAGCTCCCAGGCCACCCAAGTCCCAGAAGGATTGGTGGGGGGCGGGGGGCAGACCAGCTCCCAGGCCACCCAAGTCCCAGAAGGATTGGTGGGGGGCGGGGGGCAGACCAGCTCCCAGGCCACCCAAGTCCCAGAAGGATTGGTGGGGGGGGGTGGGCAGGAAGTTGCTGCTCTCCCAGGACAGACCTCGTGGGCCTCCCCTCCTGTCTGGGTTTCGGGGCTCCTCATGGAGCCCTGAAGCACCTGCCCCAGGACCCCTGCGTGAGCTCGGCAACACCTTGTGGCCGTGGCTACCATGCTCTGTGCCCTGTAGGCCACGGTCACTAGTGGAGTCAGGGGTCAGCGCCTGGAGGTGGCAGGCCCAGAGCAGACATAGCAGTGGACTGTGTGTGTCCGTCACCCTGCTGTGTAGTGCTCCTCCCTCACACCCAGGCCCCAAGGGCCGGCCCAGGAGCTTGGGGAGAGGCAGGACAGCAGGAATCTCCCCCAGAGCAGGCTGGAGCAGCCCTGGGGTGCAGAGGGCCCCGGCCTGGCCTTTTCTTTTTTTTG